GCTGTGTGCTGTTGTAGCATTGCTAGGTTGCTAGTGAATTCTGAGTTGTAGTTAATTGGTTATTGGTTATTGTTTGGATTGTTGAATTGAACCGGCTAGATTTAATAAGTATGAGATCATTGAATTGATTGAGTTGGTTTAATTGTTTTATGTTTTCCGCACGTTGTATTGATTCAATTGAGGATTATTATCTGTGATGATAATAATCTGAAGGGAAATTTTTAAATTTTTGGGTCGGGTCGTTTCAGCCGCGACTCAGGTGTCATCAAATGTACAGATCATTGCGCCACTATCGCCACCAGTGATTGACACTTCATCTGACAGTGACATGTCCATTTCCATTGGATATGAGAGTTTACTTCATTTGCCGATGAGGATCCCGATGCAATTTGCGTATGCTGGAGGAGCACCAGATGCTATGCCGGAGAGAGCACTAGGTGAGAATGGTTTTAAGTGGCCACCAACAAATGGAGATGAGGTTTCGTCTTAGGAGAAGCGCAGAGCTGCGTATGAGGCTGAGATGCGTGAGCTGTACGAACATCCCTTTGTCATCGAGTCACCACTTGACTATGGGATGGAAATTCTTATCAGGAGGAGCTACTCACCAGCACTGAGGCAGACTATGGTGCAAGTAGATGAAGATCCGATCAGATTTGGGATGGAGATTCAAGTGGAGAGAGCAGAGGATCCCGTGATACCACAATATCAGGTTGGAGAGGGTTTCAGTCCTTATGAGATGCATCAGCAGAGGCGTCAGGCTGAGCAGTTTCCGATGGCTAGCTTCGAGCATCTAGCTGCAGTCGGCAAAGCACCAGGAAAGGGTGGATCTGCACTCAAACAGATGGGTAATATGGGCAATAGAGACAGTAACAGTGTTGGACGAGTACCATCAGGGAGACTCATTTTCCGTTTACATGCTAGGAAGCGTGTGGCCCACTACTCGAACTTGCATGTTTGCGAGTTGTACGACTCGGTTGGACATTTCACCAGAGCATGTCCCAACATCAGGCGTCATGTTCGTTGTTTCACTTGTGGAGTGAAGGGATACTGTGCGACTTCGTGCCCGGGGACGTACGAGGAGACTCTAGTGGTTGAGCCAAAGCAAAGCCAATGTACCAGAAATTTAATGAACATTTTAAACATCAAAATAAATTCATAAAATGTTCAACATATGTATATCTATCCGCTAATTTTAACCATCGAAAGAACAACAATTTCGTAATAACATAGACAAAAATATATTTGTAATTATATCTGATATGAAATCAACAAAAGCATTTTTGTGGTAGTTCATATGTTTATAGCATGTTTTGTCCTAAAAGTAACGAATCACATTCTGTAATTCTCACTTTTTTAGGGTATCGGTTTACATGTGATAAGTTTTTTTTTCCAAATGTATAAACAAAATCTTTGATTTAGTTCATAAATTTTCCAAACAACTTGACATTCAAATAGACAATGTCGTAACTTTTCTATGTAAATATCGTTTTCGTCTTTAATTAAAATATAAATTATGCTAATCAAAATAGTTAGTTTCTAAATCTAACCAACATTTATGAACATAGTTATCTATACTTATAATTATAGTTAACCATATATTTGTTGACTATTTTGAGCAACATTATTGAATATATTGAGCAACATTTTAATTATATTGAGCGACATAGTTAACTAGCACAATTAAGAACTAACATAGTTAATTACTTTCTCTGCTTTCTTTTAAAAGATGTTTTAGAAGAAATTTGTTTTGTTTGAAATTAAGTGATGCTTTCTCTATTTTATACAAAATTAATTGATCTTTTATTGTTTTTGAGAGTTTGAAATATGCATATTATTTTTTTACTAGCTAAATTGTGTTTGGATAGATAACTATATGACTCCCCATGTGGTACGCAGATTATATATTTTAAAATTTTTTAAATTATAGTAAAATAGAAAACACCGTATTATGGTTAAATATTGCTAAGATGTTCAATCTTTTGTTTTATTTCGGTTTAAATCAATATGTATTGTAACGCTCCGACCGCCGTCGAGCTATCGGTATGCAGGAAAAATCTTCATCCCCTAACATACAAGAGAAATCCTCATCCCTTCTGGAGAAATTCTCGT